GCCGTCTGTCCGCAGGGAAGAGCGACAAAGGGCCGCTCCTGAGCGAGGAGGCCCTGGCGCTGGGCGAGCGAGGGCAGAGGGGGCCGTGCCCTCCTCTGCCTTTCACTGCAAGCTTAGAGCCCCGTTGCAGCCTAGGCGTTTAGGAGTGCCAGTCGTGGTGCAGTCAGTACCTTTTAGCGTCGCTGGTTAACTGGGGATTCTTTATTATTAGAATGAAAATGAGTTATTGATGGTCTGTTGCTGTCTTACTGTGGGATGTGAGCTTCCTTTTACCTCAGTTATATTGCCTGGTAACTGTAGTGAAACATCTGCAGTCTTTAGTAAGCAAAACAGTGCATGCCAGACCAACCTCCAGAATTGGGAAGCAGTGTGTTTCTTAGAGAACACTGGGTAACGCGCTGCTTAGGTATTTAATACAGTTATCTGATTTAGCTTCCTGTTAAGCCAGCAATCTTTCCTAGTTTATATTCTCCAACAGGATAATGATGAAGTGTTTAAAGAAAGATTACTGAAAAACTCTCTGCAGCAGAAATATCTGAAATGCAACCCCTGCTCTACTCCATAAAACAGTAATGTTTATCTGGAGGTGGTGGACTGCAGTATGACATAGTATCTCTTGGTGGCCAGCGAGAGGCTGAGAGGCAACGGGCACAAATTCAAATGCCGGAAATTCAACTTAAACATAAGAAAAGGCTTCCTCACTGTGAGGGTGGTCCAAAACTGGAACAGGTTGCCCAGAGAGGTTGTGGAGTCTTCTCCCTTGGAGATGCTTAAAACCTGACCAGAAAATATCCAGAACAACCTTCTCTAGCTGACCCTGCTTTGAGCAGGGTGGAGTTGGACTAGACAATCTCCAGAGGTCCCTGCCAACATCAACCATTCTGTGATTTCACTTTAAATAGTCTTTGTTGGGAACACTGATCAAAGTTCTTCTGAGCTCTTCTGGTTCTTAATGTTCCCTTTTTAACAAATTTCATGGAGTTTTCTGATTAAAAATTCATTAGGATATTTTTCAGACAAAATCCTTATGACTTTAGGACATATGTAGCGACAGGCTTTTATTCCATCTCATACTGCTTTGTCTGAGGATTACTTCTGATTGACTGAATGATCCTTTTCTACTAGAGGGGGTTGCATTGTTACTGTGATGCAGAGTTCAAATGTTCTGAAAAAAGTTATTCTCTACTATTCTTTTTCTGTGTGTGTGTGTGTATGTATATGTATGTATATATACACACACAGAGCAAACTTGGATTCTGTGACTTAAAACTCTACTTTTGCAGACCATGATACAGTGGGTGGAAAATCTACAGTCATGGGTCTTAAGTGAATTACATTTCTAACCTTCATTAGCAACTGTTAATACATATTAAAAAGTCATACTTAGAACCATTTCAAGTCATCTGTTTACATTAATTGCATGTAAATGTTTTCCCCTTTTATATTATTTTGCATGGTTATTTTTTGTGCATGTTCAGTTCTGTGGTTTTCTTTCATTGTTATCCTTAAGTCATTGTCAACTAATTTTATTTTAAATTGTTTAGAAACATATAGCTCATGGCCTGGTCCCTGCTGCTACCATAGCTCCTAAACCTGCAGTTCCCCGCACCCCTCCCCCTCGTAGTCCAAACCCTTCTCCAGAAAGGCCAAGGTAGGTTTTGAGTTATTTTTTTATTTCATCAATTACAATAGCATAGTAGAAAAGCATGATTAGAAGAACTGCATGTCCTAATGTAGTACTTACATAAGCCTTTTCATAAATTGAATATTTTTTTTCAATTGGGGTAGTTCCCTTTGAACTGTGAAGATACATATTTTTCTCCCATTCCTAAGCATACTCAACAGTTAGGACAATGACCTTTATGAATATGTAATTTATTACAAATCTGAATCAATTATAAACAAATGGAGTAGTTGGGGCCATTTTTTATTTGGCTGCTAGGAGTGGAGGACTGTAGCAGTACTGGTACCTTGAGTAAGGAAGCTTTACTAACCCATTACAAAAGCATAAATTAAGTTATTAACATGTCATTTTATTGCATATTTTTAAAAAAGGCAGGGACTCAGAAGTTTGTATGTATTTTGGATTTGATTAGATTTGAATTAGTTGCACAGTCAAGGTACATAAAGTGAAAACAAATTTATTTTTCCTTTCATTTTTAGTTTCTTACAGTTTTTCCTTTACACTTTCTCTATGTTTAACTAAATTCTGGTGGTTTTCTAGTATCTTTAACATTCCTATTTGATCCTGGTTCACTTCTTCCTTTTTTGACCGCTAGTTGCTGTCATTCCTGTTGCAGTGCTCACCATTTCTTTTCTTTACTCTTTGGTCCCATTTGTTTTTTCCTCTTCATCTTACCCTTCTGCAGCATCCCACAAATAGGTACTTCTATCCACTTCTGCTTGTCCTAGTTTGCAGTGCTCTGGAGTTTATTAACCACTTCAGAGACATCAATAGAAGAATCAGAGTAGGGAATAATGGAAACTAGCGTACAAAAGAGCAGAATATGGAACAACTTTTTTCAACACAGCATTCTGTTCAGTCATAACAGTAATGGTGGTGATAAATACAGTAAACTATCAATGTCAGTTTCAGGCATGTAACTAAGTATTAGTGTTTGCCATGCTTTTAATTTGGGAAAAATTCATAGGTATTAGATTTTTACTCTTAGATATCTGCGTTATGAAAGCATGCCTAGTTTTATGCTTTACTTTGGGAATTAATAATTTAAAATTAGCGTCTTAATACTTTCAGAGCTCATGATGATTGTTAGTTTTGAACTTTTTGCTTTGCTTAAATAGTGAAGACATTTTGCAAAAGAAAAATGTAAAATATGAAGCACAGGAGACATCAGTTTTGTTTCATTGCTTTATTCTGTTTTCTTCCAGATCTGCTCTAGCAGCAGCTATCCTTGCAACAACGCTAACAGGGCGTACTGTTGCTATTCCTCAGCCTCGTCAACGATCACTTTCTGAAAGTGATTCCACCTATGTGGAACAAGAATGCTTTGAACCATATGCAACAGTCGCAGAGCTCAGAATGGGGTAGTGTATGCTTTCTGTTTTGGCATCTTATCCTGGAAATACATCACTGCCAGATATTAATGTTACCCAAGAATTACAGCAAACTAATTCAACTCCTGGTGTTATTGCCACTTACTTGAACTTAATTTTTTCTCTCCAAATCATAAATTGAGTCTGAAGTCTCTACAATCCTTATTCCCTTTCTCATAAAATGATGTCATGCATGCGGTCTTCAGAGGGGGGGATTACGTGGATTGTACACAGTGCGTGGCATGTATTATTTCTCCCAAACAACCATCAATTATACAAGCAGTTTATCACTGAGGAATCATCTGAATTACACATCGGGTGATTCCTTTGTTCTAAATTATGACGTCAGACTACTTTGTGCTGTAGAATTAGCAGCCTTCTATCTCCAATCTGGCCTTCTCTTTAAACTAGAGAGGAACGCGTAGCTCGGGTGTTAATTTTCTATTATAAAGCATACACATAGGTCAGATTGCTTGTTTGCAGTTAAAGAAGCTTAGATGTCTGTTCATGTCTGCTGTTAATATGTTGTGTATATCCTCAGACTGATGGTTCTACTTGCTAGCATGTATTTTTGGGGAAGAATAAGCATCACTGAAATATGCTTTAAACTGCTTTCTACCTGCAGGCCCAACTGGAAGCTTGATGGTAGTGAAAGATCTCCTGTACATTCCCTGGAAATATCAGGCAATTGTTGTGAGGATGAGGAGGACATGGATACCTATCTTTCAGATGCGGATAAAGAGGCAGAGTCTAGCTGTCGAAGTAACGAGAAGAGGGGAGAAAGCTTTAGTGCCAGTGCAATTTATGCTGTTCCTTGCAAAAATAAAAAGGTAGAGTTTTCAGATTGGTTAATTTCTTTACACTATTCTATTAAAACAAGGCGAACGTTAAATATTTGTAAAGTTGTACATTTTTTTCTTACTGTTCAAACATTTATTCAATTTTTATTTCATGTACTTCTTTTCATGATTAATTTACTACTGAATGAGTTAAGTTTGTTTATTAATCCTCATAGATTCCTTATCTCTGATATTAGGGCCTTTTTCTTGTTAGGAATACGCTAGTATTGTGGTTCTTACTATACATTTAAAGAAAGTACATAATTTAATCTTGTAAAAAGTGCAATGTTTTATGTTAAGGGTGATACAGTGGCAGCCCAGCTGGAGGCCAGTCAGTGGTGGTGTACCCCAGGAAACAACACTGGGGTCAATACTGTTTAACCTCTTTGTTAACGACCTGAATGATGGGACAGAGCGCACCCTCAGTAAGTTTGCAGATGGTGCAAAACGGGGAGTGGTTGATACACTAGATAGTTGTGCTCCCATTCAGAGGGACCTCGACAAGCTGGAGAAATGGTCTGACAGGAATCTGCTGAAATTCAGACAAAGGGAAATGCAAAGTCCTGCGTCTAGGGACGAGTACCAGC